GACCCACTCTTCCCACCAGTGACGACTAATCTGGTATTTAGAGTAGTTTATTTAGTGGTTTACCTGGATATCTGAATTACATTTAATTCTTCAGTCCTTTCAGCGGGTTTCAGAGCTTGAGGCAGGAACTGTAAATTCCATAGATACTGATAACCACATTTTATCTGCATGATAGTGATTATGATCATATATTAATGCTAGGGTTTTTAGATAAACAAGGGGCTTTAGCTGTTCTTGAGATAAATCATTTGAGTATGTTTGGGGTTACAATGTAAGGATTTAATTCCATCCTTATGTCAGAAATTCATTTTTGACGTTTCTTATATGTTTTAGAGCATTTTAGGTCTATGGCATTATTTCATTTCTTTTGGTAATTATATTTCTGTCTTTTGTTCATTAAACCAGCACTTAATCATCTTCCACATGTTCTCAAATCCTCCCCTTCTTTCTTCCCACAGCTGCTGTTTTATTTACCTCAGACTCTGACCTTTTATCTTCCAGAATAGCACCTCCCAGACTATATATGCATATGAATAATGGGGCTCTTGTTAAAATGCAGATTCTGGTGTCAGTAAGTCTGTCTTGGCACCTGAGGTGCAAGCTTCCAGGTGATGTTGACTCTGCCCCCGTGGTCCCCACCTGTGGTACCCCTCCCAGTCATTTTTTTGAGACAGAGATCTGATCATTTCACTCTCCTTCTCCAGACTTGATTGTATATGGAAGTAAAGTCCACACTCTTTAGTGTGAAGATCCTTAAGGAACAGGCCTGTCCTGTCTTCGATTCTCTAACCACCCTCTCCGTTTTGGGGAGAGTCCTTGGTACTTTCTACACATGCTATGAACTTTCACATGCTCTGCCTTACTGTGCATCTGCCAGGTAAATATTGCTATATTTTATTATTATTGTTGCCTCTTCAGAAGATAATATTGTAGGTATAAACTGGACAACTAGAACTCGTGTCAAGCATTTCCACCTAAGCCACAAGGGAATGTCTGGTGGGAAGCAGGAGATGCAAAAGAAAGGGAATTCATAGTAGAGCTTTAATTGTTCCTATATGAGTGACATTTTTTTTCTTTCTTTTTTTTTTTTTTGGAGTCTCAGTTTAAAAATTAATGCAGATTTTCCACTTTGCTCTGTAATAGGACTTTAATAAAATTAATGTTTTAAATAAATTACTACTGAATAAAAGTGATCCACATGTATCCTGTGGCTTCTAGGAATCTTGGCATACTTCCAGAAATCTGTGGTAAACTTCTCTTTGACTGTCTTTGGTAAAGCCTTCCCAGTTCTTATCTCTTCAGATGTGGCCTTTATCATAGTTTAATTTGGTACCTCTGTTCTTTAAAAACACTAGGAAGCATCTGACTATAGCACCTTTAATCAGGAGTTACATAGTGCTCTTTAATTTACATTGATGAGGAGGACAGAACTCCAGCGGGAATGTGTAACAGTATGTGAACATATAGAGTGTTGAAGGAGTTGCTGGAGTAACCAGCAAAATGGAACTCTGCTAGGAAGATTTTATTTATTTTATTTTACTTTTTAAAGACTTTATTTATTATTTGTCAGAGACAGAGAGCAGAAGCAGGGGGCACGGCAGGCAGAGGGAGAAGCAGGCTCCCTGCTGAGCAGGGAACCCAATATAGGGCTGGATCCCAGGACCCTGGGATCATGACCTGAGTGGAAGGCAGATGCTTAACGACTGAGCCACCCAGACATCCCTCAGCTAGGAAGATTTTATAGATGAAAGTTTTTCATGTAAAGGACCTACAGTATGGCTTGGCAGAAGGGAGGAGGGGAGGGATTTCTTTCTGTTTAGGGAGAATGGTGCATTTGAGGGCTTGGTTGGGAGTGATGGAGGTGGGTTATTAGAGCTGTTAGAGCCTTTCTAGCCTGGAGCACATAGGCCAGTAGGAAGCAGCTTACTCTGTGGAAGAGCCCTGGATGGGGTGGTCTGGGTTTCACTTGGTCCTGGCACTGTTCTGCTGAGTACAGCAGGAGTCAGTTTACCTTCCTGGGCCTAGTTTATTTATCCTCAAATTGAGAGAGTTGAAATACTGTGATCTGTAATATACCTTCCAGCTCTGCTATTCAGTAATTCTGTCTCCTCTATCAAACAAGCTGGTCTGGGACTTTGTACTTCAAGGGTTCGGTTTCTGTTATAATTGCAGTTTGCTTTGGAGTCTTGCCCACTGACCAAGCTTAAAATATGAACCATTCAAATTTTCCCTTGCTTTGCATCACATTTACTTCTGTCCGATCTTGAATTCATGTTTCCCATTGCTGCAGTTTCTCTCCTTGGGTAAGTCCTTCAGAATCTTTCTCCCAGGCTCTTGCTTATGTTTAACCCCACCTCACACCCCCTACCACTAGAATTCCTTTTACACACAGCAGCTAAGTTAGTATCACTGTGCCTCTCCTCAGTAAAAATAACTGTGGTGAATCTCCATTGTCTTCCAAAGAAGAGCCCAACTCATTAGCTCAGTATTCATATCAGCTATCAATCTTAGCTCACATTACTCCCCTCTTAGTATCTACAGAATAGTTAAACTGAAGCTACTATCCTCTCAGTGCCCTTGCTCCCGTTGTTAAGTGCACCTGGTTATGCCCTGCTTCTTCCCCCATTGTCACGCCGCCACGATTTTCCCATCTTGGGTGCCACGGTCTTCATGAGTCTCTTTAGGCTTCCCACAGCCAGGAGGAGTCCTTTTCTTCTCAGTTCCCACTGCACCATAGCACCGTTTCTGTACCTAATAGTGCTCATTAGTTGGTTTGTCTATCCTTTTTTGTACTCTTAATCTCTCCAAACTAAACTAAGCTCCTCAGCACTTAGGCAGTACTATATTATCTTAGATAGGGTGGGTGCCCAATAAATATTGGTTGAATGAATGAATTCTGGCTAATTATAGTTCAGATCCTTGTTATCTCTGGTTGGTAGAGTTTCTTGTTTTTCTGGATAATCACTAACTAGACTTCTTTAAGTCTGCCAACAGAAATTAATAAACTAATAGAAGAATAAGAACCATTGCTAAGATGTGTTACAATTCCCGAGTTTGTAATTAAGGCAAGCAAATGTTTGCAAGCCTCAGCCTTGTCTTTGAATTTTGAGTTTCATTCACCTGGGCTTTTAAGGCAGTATGAACCTTTTCAGATGAACCACCTCAGGGTAGTTTGTATTTTGCTTATTTGTGTCAGTATGCTTAGCAGTTTTTTGTCCAATGAAGGTTTTATTTATTTATTTTTAAGATTTATTTATTTTAGGGGCGCCTGGTGGCTCAGTCGTTAAGCGTCTGCCTTCGGCTCAGGTCATGATCCCAGGGTCCTGGGATCGAGCCCCACACCGGGCTTCCTGCTCTGCGGGAAGCCTGCTTCTCCCTCTCCCACTCCCCCTGCTTGTGTTCCCTCTCTCACTGTATCTCTCTCTGTCAAATAAATA